TCAAACCTCGGCATGGCTAGAATGCTTTTTTTCCTTATCAACACTAAGTAGCTTTAGGTTCAAAACCTCTAGTTAGGTACGTTACTCTTATGTTACTGAGCGATTGAAAATCTGCAGTGTAGTATGGGGAGAGAGCATGACCGATAAAGACACGCACATACAATCATTTATCCATGCTGACTTTGTGTGGATATCTTCGTTGTTTAAATGGTTATATCAATACTCGTCTTGTTAAACCTATTTCACATATATACACATACTGAGGCTGGTGTAGACAGGCACCAATTTCCCTACCAGCATGTGTTTGGAGTGTGGGAGGAAACCGAAGTACCTGGAGGAAACCCTGGCAAGCACAGGGAGAACATGCAAACTCCATGCAGATAGTGTCCTGGCAGAACCTGGATTTCAACCAGGGATCTCAGTGCTGCAAGGCTTAAGTTCTAATCACCAAGCCAGATATTACATTTAAATAGTACACAGAACTATGTTTGCCCTGGAGGGGCAGAGTAGGATCACTACCACATTTTTACACATTCTAGTAAAGCACCAGTTAAAATACCTGTATGTTTTTAGGTTGTGGGAGGAAACTTGAGCATTTGAATAAACCAACACAAACATGTGTAATGCACTCCATAACAGGAGTGGCATTCAAACCCAGGACCCAGATAATGTACATGATTTACTAAGCCATATATGCTGATTCTGTTGTATCCATGGGGTTGTTCATTTTGCAAGGGAATTTTCACTTAGCTCAGTAAATGTGGTGAACATTCACTTTGCAAAGATTCATTCACTTGTACAAGAATTATAAAAAACACATTAGGGGGAATTTATCAAAACTGGAGCACAAGAATCTGGAGCAGTTGCCTATGGCAACCAATCAGCTTCTCTCTTCAGTCTGTTCAGTTAAGCTTTGAAAATGAAAGAGAGAAGCTGATTGGTTGCCATGCATAGCTGCTCTACATTTTGTCTGCTCCAGTTTTGATAAATTCCCCTCATTGTATTTTTGTTTGCATATGATTGGATGAAGGAAGTCTGCAGAGTTTACAGCCTATTTGCCTTAATAAACCAACCCCAATGCATTCACAGAGCATTTACAGCCGGCTCACTTTATTTTGGGCCGTGGCGGTGCATTGAACTCAATGACACCGCAGCCACGTCCTCTGTCCGCAATGCAATCTGGCTGCACAGGAACGTGTGGCACATCAGTGCCTGCGTCCGGTCTGGTGCAGTCAGAATAAGTAGTGCACGCATTATTTTTCCTGACTGCACCACTAATGGGCCACGCATTCCCATGCGGACGATCGCATTGCCACGTCCCTTCCCACCCAAAACAAAGTGTTCCGGCCTGAATGCAATCCAGTGCGTTCTGGCCACAATCGGGCCGGAACGCACTGAGCATGGTGTGAACTAGCCCTCAAGGTTATTGTAAAACCTATTACTGTCTTTTGGTGCTTTTCCTTTGTTTGATGCATGCACAGTTCATACATTAGCAAGCAACCATGTGGCTTGTGACATTGTATTTTCTTTGTTTTTTTTTTTACATTTTTAAAGTAGAATTTTAACATTCACATTGGAATATAAGGCACAAAAGCAGCATGAGTCTTCAATGTATGCATGTAACAGAAGTGTGTGGTTCAGCCGATCACTAAGGGGGATCATACCTGGGTGCACATACATCCACACACTCCGTATTGCAAGCATACCAATTATCTTTATTACAATTTCTCTCTACTCTTGTGCATTTCCTTTCAGTAACATAGATCCAATGATTATTGCCTAATCTAGCCAAAATCAACTAGAACAAGTAATGCTTATCTTTTAGCTATATAACAACATAGAGACACACAAAGCAAGCAAATAAAATGACAATGTCATTCACTTAATGCATTTTTTATATTTAGCTCCTGAGTTTAGTGTCACTTTAACAATTCAAAGAGCAGGTACAGAGCCTGTAAAATCTGAAGACACTTCAGAAAATGTTGTCAATATGCTATGCATATAATATATATAGATATAGATATATCTATATCTATATAGATATAGATATATCTATATCTATGTTTATATTGGCAGTTGTATGTATATATACTGTACGTTTCAAGTGAGTGTTTAAAATGAATTGCACTTTAACCTACCTATTTTTACCCTATAATAGTATAAAGTATATCTAAAGCCTCTAAAGAGTCATATGCAGAAAAGGCTTGGTTCCAGATACCTTTTACCGATTATAAATCATTTTTGGACCAAAATCTTTTTTTTGTGTATGAACGATGAGGCACTCTTCATTACACACACAAATCTACCAGCCTGAGGAACCCAAACCTTGCAGAATACCCACCGGATTAAAGGAAACCAGGACCCATGCAAGGTTATAATTTTAAGAACAAAAGGAGGAGACATTTAACCACTTGCCGTCCATGGCCATTCCTGAACAGCCGGACGGGAGCCTTATAGGAGCGGAAGGGCGTCTTAAGACGCCTGATCGCTTGTAGTAGCTGCGGGTGTGCACCCCCCCCCGTACCCCCATCGTCGCCGCTGGTCTCGAGATCCGCTGTGCCCAGTGCAGCTGGGATCGGCACAGCGACTCTGTTACTGGAGATCAAAGGGTGGTCAGTACACGAACTCCCTTTGATCTCCTCTCCAGTCCCAGAATGCAGGAAGTGATGTAGTATACATCATTTCCTGCATTCAGTGTCACTCTCCAGTTACAGATGCCGGTGAGAAGCTGCTGAAGCAGATCTCTGCTTCATTAGCTTCTCTGGGGGTCCCTAGATGACATTAGGCGTCTTGGAGACCCCTGATGTCTCCATAAAGAGGACCTGTCATTTGATTTGGCTATCACATAGGGGGTTTCCTAGCCCCCTATGTGATCGCAATAAAGTTATATAAATAATACAATCAAATAAATAAATCAACTGAGCATCAGATATTAGATAGTCTGAATTTATAGTATTCATATAATTTATTAGAGAAACCACAAGCCATAACCCTAAAGTCTGATAAATAGGGATCCTGTATCTCTGTATCCAGTGTTACTCTACTCACATCAACCTCCGTTCCCTTTAGGAAGATTTTTCTCACTTCCTGTCTTAAAACACACCCGGAAGAGAGAGGAGATCTTCCCAAAGTGCTAGAAATCTTCTTTTTTCGACGGTTTTTACTGAAACGATTCCCCAATGCAAGATTTTCTTGCTATTTTTGATCGGGTAACAGCTCAAAATGTTCCCCTATTTCCAGTGCCAGTGATAATGATTATCAGGACAAACAGAGAGGTTTAATTGCCACAGCCAGGATACAGCAATAAAGACTTGACATTAGTCCTAGCCTTCTGTACTCTATCCAAACCCCTCAAAAATAGATTTGCAAATACTATATGTAAAGTAAAGTCATTGAGAGCACTGATAGAAGTATACACTGGGTTGAGATGCTGTCCGTAGGAACAGTAATATTTAGAAACTGAGAGTGCCTATAACAGAACAATAGAGAGGGGGAAGGGGTTTTGATTAATGAGTGACTTTTAATGGGGAGAGACCATTTTGAAAGATTTATGATTCACTATAGTTAGTGGTTTTATTTTGTCACAGTATGTAGGCACAGTAGGAGCCTAAGAAAGTGTTTACATACAGCAATTGTTACTGTTGATTATATAGGGCCTATTAAAAAGGTTTATTATGCTTGTTGGGTTGATGGACAATGCAGTGTAATACACTAGACATTGAACTTTATGATGAAGGTATTTATTGACTGAAAAAAAGAAGCCTTTGAGAAGAAATGTTATTTAGGGATGCAATATTGTTTTATTTATTGCAGATGTGTCCATTTTAATTTTAAATCATGCATGTTAGCGATTCTGATTAAATAGAACACATTAAAATTAAGAGATCCTTTTATCATGTGCTTTCAGCATTTCCTGATTTCAGGGATGGAGAACACTATTGCTGTTTTTTATTTTCTCTCTGTCACGTGGAGACCTTTTGTTTTCTCCTTGATCATAAGAGTCTGCACCTTCTTCCAGTTAGCGCCTTTTGTGATACCTGATTTTATGTTCTGGTTTTCAATGTGCATTTCAGTCAAAGATCATCTCAATATTCTCTTAATTTGAAAGTGGCTGAATTCTCCAACTTCCTGGACTTCATAGTTACATAGTTACATAATATTTGAGGTTGAATAAAGACATTAGTCCATCAAGTCCAACCTATTAGGATCTCATTCTAGGAGTACCCGTACCCCTGAATATTATGGTCCCTTAAGAAATCGTCCAAAAGTTTCTTGAACAATTCCACATTATTTGCTGAAATCACCGCCTGTGGCAGTGAGTTCCAGACCCTAACTGATCTTACTGTGAAGAACCCCTTTCGCCCCTTGTGCTGGAATTTTTTTTCCACCAATTTTAGGTGATGGCCTCTAGTTTTTGTAACGGAGTTAATTTTAAACAGTTTATCGCTAATGTTGCTACCACCATTAAACATTTTGTACATGGAAATCATATCCCCCCTTAATCTCCTCACCTCTAATGTGAACATGTTTAAATTTAGTAGCCTACGGTTTCTGTCAACCACTGGGGTATATTTTGAGTTAAACTGGGAGTTTTATCATGTGTGTCAAACCCGTTTCCCTCCCGAGTGTATACTGAGGAGAAAAAAGCATTCAGCGCCTCGGCCCTCTCCTTGTCGTTTGTGACTAGCTTCCCGCTTCCATCCTTTATTATTCAGGTATTATGAGCTGAGTTACCAGCTAGTGTGCTAGCAGCAAAGTGAAATGTAACTGACAACACTGAACATTTTGAGATGAAAATAAGCATGCAAATATAGGAAAAGTGTCTTTGCCCTTAACATGGACAACATGGAATAAGTTATTTGGGACACAGCTTGTTAATCAACTTAAGTTAAACTTAAGTTATATTGTTTATCTAAGCTATGCATTGCTAACAAATGATTGATTAAACACCTATTTGAAAGTTGTAACTATAGCAATCTTTTCTAATGTTTTATTCAAAGGTCTCAGCATCCGAGGTGCACAGGAAGAAGATCCGCCAGACCCGCAGCTCATGAGACTGGACAACATGTTGCTGGCTGAAGGTGTATCTGGACCTGAGAAGGGAGGTGGAGCTGCTGCAGCCGCCACGGCAGCAGCTGCTTCAGGTGGAACTTCAGATAACTCAATAGAACATTCCGACTACAGAGCCAAACTCAGCCAGATCCGACAGATCTACCATACAGAACTGGAGAAGTATGAACAGGTATGCTAATCTTTCTTCACTTCAGTTTCCAAATGACAGACATCAAGCAATGGTATTCTTCCCACCAGTAAATGTAATACAATAACCAGATCACAGTAGGAGAGGGAAATATGTCAGACTGATCAGAGAAAATTATAGTTATTATCAGTAGTTTATTATAGACCATTAACAGATTGCTATAGATTATTAAATGGTACTGTATTTTATATGTATTATCATACTGAAGACCAAATGAAAGGAGACTTCTGGTTTAAATGAAAATCAGGATATTGGTTTAAATCTGAATTTAACTAGTTAAAATTATAGTGTCCCTTTAAAAAAAAAAACCTACAGCGCCTTTAATTTCTATTTGAATGATGGCACATTGTAAACGTTTAAAGCTCTGACACTTCTGGGTAGTTTTGGCATATGCCCATTTCCTCCTGTCATAGGCATTCTTATTAACCCATCACTATGAAGAGATGCATCACTGGTCAATAGGAAGGTGTGGAAGGTGCTTGCAAGCTATTTAACTTCAAGAAAGTGTCAGAACACTAATGTTTTAGATCAGCCCGGCATTTGGGTGTGCAGGAAGAAAGTAATCTACTATAGGTATGTACATTTAGTTGCCTGCAGAATCACTTTAAAGTAGATTAATTCCTTAGCTATGCTAAGGAATAGCTATGAAAATATTGCTGGATGGATAAAAGGCTAACCGAAGGGTTGAAGTGCCTTTAGCTGACCACAGGTGCAGAAGAAGAAGAAGTTTTGTCTGACAACCCCGAAAATGTTGTGTCATTGCCCTTCTCCACTAATAGCTGTAGAGCTTACAATGAACAAATGCTTAAGTTGCATCATTAAGTTGCATTTGTCTGTCTTGTTGTGGCATACTGAGAAGGAGTGGCCATACATGTAATTTCCAGGCTTTAACCAGAAAAAGTTTTGTCATTTTTAAAATGACACTGATGTTAGGTTAAGTGGTCCATTTAGGTGTACATATGTAGTGCAGAGATACTGAAGTTCACATTAACAAAATGGTATAAAATGTGAAACCTTTGTTGCGTATAGTAAGTTTATTGTCTTTATAGTATAGTTTACTCTTACATGTAAGTTTAAGGTATACTGTACTCTTTATTGACTAACTGAAGTTATTAAAGGTGTAAGTTTAAAAAAACAAAAACAGATTAGATTTCTTTATCCGCCATTATACAATTGTATTATGCCCGATGAAGAAATCTAACGGATATAATCTAAACTACAAACTTTCCTCACTTCTGTTACTCAAACATAATTCCAGTCTATTTGTATAACGGAGCAGTGATGTTGTTGGCGTTTCTGAGCCTTGGAAGCATTGCAATTTAGCATCTAAACCAGGCCCCCAGAATAATTGCCATGTTACAAGATCTTTGGGAGTCAGTGTTAGCCATGCTGTGTCTATGACATGCTAAGAAGAGCTCCACTTTTCTTTTGGGTGTGGAAACCCAATAAATAAAAAATATTTTTTAAAGAACAAAATAAGTGCTTGGTTGTAAAAAAAAAAAAGTCAATATATCTGATAGCGATGGCAACCTGGATTTAATGGATATTAAGAGATGTATTTATTTATTTTTGTAGAATTATACTTATATCAATGTAGTTTCAACCCTGCGTTTATACAAAAGTCATATTGATTTCAATGCCAAATTCTACTCAAAAAGAAACAGTTAAGTAAAGCTCATGGGATGGGATGGAGCAATGCTTTTTGCTTTTTTTGTTTTCAAATCAACCGCCACACATAATTGGGTATTTAAAATGTAAAAAGTTTCACCTTATATTTACTTTGCTAAGTAAACAAGCTCTACACATCAAGTAAGGCCATCATCAACTTGTATGTGTGAATAAGCCTTTATCCAAGTTTTATTCTAATGGGTCGAGAGGCACTATAGAATATGTATCTGTGGTTGCTTTTTGTGTCCAAGTTCTGTTATAGCTGTTTTTTTAATTGTACCTTTACTTGAATATACACAGAATATACACAGAATGCAAGAAAACATTGAGTTGTACTGGCAAGGGTATTAACATATATAGTTCAGTAAACAATTCTATATACTGTAGGAACAAAAAGGGCCTGTATATACAGTACATGGGAGCTACTAGTAAAAGAAAAATTGGTGAAAAGAAAACAGGAACACATGATTTGTTGCCCAGTGTGGTCAGTTACAGTCATTGTTTTATTTTTTTCCTGGAGAATAAAAGAAAAACTCTAATGGGTCACTATTGGAAACCACTCAGTTTTCCCTGCATGTTATCAGTCTTTTTTTTTAATCATCCATACTCATTTCAATACTTAGAATAAGTAATATACTTACTTATTATAATCATTTCATATTACCTCAGTCTTTAACTGTGGAGAGTATTAGCAATTCTGTGAAATAAGTGTCCATGCGAGGTCAGACTTATTTCTTCCTACAGTGAACAGAATGCATGCTATACATAACTTTCAGCTGCTGTAATTTAAATGACACTTTAAGAGCTGCCTTTCCAGAGCTGCACTCAAGTTGCTTTTTGCTAAAGGCAATACTATGGTAAGGGTCCCTTTACCCCAGAACATCTGGGAGAACTGGATCGAGTCAAAATTCATCCATGATAAGAAACTGCTGTGATACGTAAAATGATAGTGAATAAAGTATATTTGGTTTAAACCTTGATTCATAGATTTATGATTTACATCAGACTTCATTTGGCCCAACTCAACCCTTTTTTGTGTCCCCAAATGACTCACTACCATTAAGCTTGGGCTGTGCAACCTTCATTAAATTACGCATTACAATTTGGCTGTATAACCTTTGTACAATCTCTGTAATGTGTGTAGTAAGCTTTAGATTTGCCAACAAGTGTGTAGTATAAGGACCTACCTAACAATCCATTCAATTTAAGTCCGGTCGTGTGGGACCTTCCCTCTACACAATGATTTACCTGGCTCCTAGCATACCTGGCACCCAGGGCAGATAATTTTTTTAGCACCATTCCCCTCCATACATTAAATTAATTTTTAGTAATAATCATGAAGTTAAACATCATGCATGCTGCTGGTGGGAGCAGAATTGACCAGTGGAGAACAGGCTGCAGCAGCTGTTAGTCTGACTGCATATGCCAACCTAATACCATTAGTAAAATTACATATTGCTCCGCCTTAGCAGCTTAGAGGTGCTATGACCCACTTAGCTGAAGAACGAAAATGCAGACACCAAACACCTAGTGGCCACAGTAATCAACCCTTCATTGGTGGTCAGTGGTAGTAACATTAACCACTAAACAGTAGTAACATTAACCACAGCAACATTAGTGGCAGGCTGTAATACTTCCCCTTCCTTCAGCACCAGTGGTCAGTGGCAGGCTAAAACAACGCAATAACTTTTGTATTGTTTTTTTTGCCTGGAGTTCAGCTTTTAAGTGAACCAATGCTTTACTTATGCAGGGAATAGCAATAGGTTGATTTTAAAGCTGTACCCTCCCTCAGCAGCTTATAGTTTAGTTACCTTATCGTCACCCCACTACTGTTCCATTTGCCACCAGGAGTGAGGAGGAGAGGTCATGTGTAAGCTCCAAGTTGATCCTAGTCAAAGCTTGCATAGGGCTGTGGACCCTCCCTCTAACGGCGCTGATGACTGAGCTCCCAACTGCCAAGCCCCAGTGCTGCAACTTGGGAGGAAGAGAAGCAAATTCCCTGTTCCTCTACACCCAGAAGTACTTCTGACACTGACCAGAGCAGCAGGAGAGCAATGGGACATTAAGTATAAGCTGCTGCAGCAGCGGGCATAAAAGCGAACATGTTTGTTTGTCCTGTATGGTTAAAGCATATGCTCACTTTAATGTTATATTTAGTAATTTTGCAAGCTTCTTATGGAGCTTGAGACGTCAATAAATAATTTCTCCTGGTCCCAAAAAATCTAGAAACTATAACTTATGTGTGTTTAATAAAAGGAATGAGCTGGCAGCAGTAGCTATATTTCAGAGTAGCTCCAAATAGTGGGCATCTATACGGCTAAATAGAACCTGAGCATGGCAAATGCTTAGTTCTGAGGATCCTTGGGAAAAGAGTAGGTGTGTACACTATTATCATACTCATGAAATGCAGATATCACTGTAGAGCACTTTCAAGCTAAGCCAAATGCTAAAAGATTGTCAGTGTAGAATTCTTATACTCATACTGCATACTCATACATGCAGATGTGTGGGTGTAATGCCAAATATAATATCATTCAGTAACTCCATTATAGAGCACTCTCTCTTCCCACTGTTCAAGCACTCATAAATAAGAAGGTAACACACCATCTTTAATGGGGCGACAGCTAAGAATCACTTTAGCAGAAGTGCCTGCCTCTTTCTTAAGGGTGTACCCAGATTTTAATTATCTAAATGTAAATACTTAACGAATTTTACTTAGAGTAATGAGCTAGAGTGCATACTACATAAATGAGATGTTCTAATTAATCTTGTATGAACTAGTGCTTTAAAGGGATGCCGGGTGAATCCCACAAACCCTGGGCCTGTGCCAAATTGCTAATCAGCCTTTCTGTTCATACATGGCTTCCCTTAATAAGCTGAAATACGTGCAGCAAGCTTTGAGGAAATAAATCCCTACTTATTCCCACACTAAATGTTTCACTTACTGAATTCTACTTTAGACAACATGTAGAGAATAATCTTCTATGTTAGTGTCCTATTGATTTTTAGTTTTTATCTAATCATAAAATAATATTATTGCTGTTATTATACTTTCATAAGCTATTTGTTATTTACTGGAAAAATATCAGTGCTTTCTTGCTTCTGCTTTTGTTTTTTAAATCCTTTATGGGAATTTTATTTTATGGTTTTTCCTTTTTTTGAAGGGATAAATATTAATGTTTTTTTTTTTATTTGACCCTTCATCAAGGTCAGTATTTTTATTATTATATTCCCTTAAAAAAATAGAGAAAACAGCCAAAAATGTTGCCTAAAATCGTATATTGCACATCTGATCACGTAGTATCAGAGATAAATGTCCAGCTTATATGAACATTGAAAATCACACTTTGGGAAACTAACTATAGACTTTAGAGAGCAGTTGAATTGTACTATCACTGAGGCAAAACTCACTCTTTAGCATGTTCCATAAACCTATATATTCAGTTTGAACCAAGTGATAAAATTGGTGAGGAAAATTACAGGCTATGGAGCCAGCCTATTAACAGGGAAAACAGTAGTAATTGCACAATGTTTTCTAAACTTTATGACTAATCATAACCCGCTCATAAAAGTGAGCTGGAGGACAAAGATCATCTCATGTCTGTGGGTGGCTTTATATGAAAGACAGGCTTATCTTTTGTCATAATGTCCCTTATAGGGTGATTAGGGGTTTTTCTAAAGTTGAACTACAGTTAGATAAAAAACAATACCGTGTTGCCCCTTTTAAAATACAAAGCAGCTTTTGTTGCAATACTCACCTTATCCCTAGAACTGTCCAACACACATTTACTGCTCAGCAGTCTAGCACTGCTCATCTTCCAGGTTAAATGATGGTCAGAATCATCTAAGCTACTTCCTGTGGACCCATGCAGTCATGGGCACATCCACTGGGGTTTTGACAGCAGGCAATGTGGACTACATTACTTTCTAAATGAGTGCTGCTCGCATATTTGTGCAACAAAATAGACTGATACTTCAAACTCTTCATGATTTTATTGGGTCAGTTCACTCTAAACTGATAACTGAAATCTTGCAACTTTATAAATATATTTTTGATCCAATGTCCACTTTAAATAACAATCTCAGATGGCGGTTGAGTTCCTTCAAAAGGTTTGTTATTGTGGACAGTGTATAAGTAATTTCTTAGGTAAGACTTTGGTGTACCTGCCATAAATCTTTGCATATGGTCAACATTATAGTTTTTGTATGCATGTGTACATGGAGACACAGAACTGTCACGTGGCATGCATTATGTTTGCTTTTGTTGATTATATTGTATTATTTGTTACAGGCTTGCAATGAATTCACAACCCATGTGATGAATCTCCTGAGAGAGCAAAGCCGGACACGTCCCATCTCCCCCAAAGAGATTGAGAGGATGGTGGGCATTATCCACAGAAAGTTCAGCTCCATCCAAATGCAGCTTAAGCAAAGCACGTGTGAAGCTGTCATGATCCTAAGGTCGAGGTTTCTTGATGCCAGGTCAGTGGTAAAATGTATGTCAAGTCAAAATTAAAAAATATATATTTTCAGTTCTTCAGTATTACCCCTTTAAAACATAGAAAGTGCAGAAACATACTTGCTGATCTGTCAGAAATCCAGTGTGCTCCCAACGTCTGCTTGAGCTGACAACACAATGCCTTTGCTGCACCGAAATCCCAGCACTGTTACAAACTCTACCTGCTGGACTACAGAACGCTGTCTATATCTTACCCCTCTCCACATACACTATATTGCCAAAAGTATTGGGACACCCCTCCAAATCTTTGGATTCAGATGTTCTGTGAAATTTCCTTGCTACTAAATATTCCACGGTCACCTGTTAGTGGTATTATAACAAAGTAGAAGCAACTGGGAACACCAGCAACTCAGCCACAAAGTGGTAGGCCATGTAAACTGACAGAGTGGGGTCAGCGCATGCTGAAGTGTGCAGAAGTCACCAACTGTCTGCATAGTCAATAGCTACAGAACCTCCAAACTTCATTTGAATTGCAACACTGAGGAGCCTTAAAACCTCTGAGAGGAGTCTTCTGCTCAATTAATGGGGTTGATATGGAGGGTTGAAGGGTAAGTGATGATGATCAGGTAGGAAGCTGGCTTACTGTCGCTAGAAGGAGTGGCAGGTGCTTACAGAAAAGGAAGACCAGTCCTGTGTCTGAGCACCCAAACACATTTGCTAAGTTGAGTGAAGATGTGAAAGTGGCAAACCCAGAGATGGCAGCTCTAGATGCCACTGCTACCCCTAACAGCTGGGAGAGCAGCCCATCTAGTAGAAGTAGTGAGCCTAATACAGGGAGGCCTAGCCAGTTAGAGGTAATAGGGGATTCTATAATCAGTAGGACTGACAGAATAATTTGTAGCTCATATCGCTTCCAATTAATTGTTTGATGTCTCCCTGGTTCGGCGTGTGGTGGACTGGGTAGACAAAATACTGGGAGGGGCTGGGCATGATCAAGCTGTCTTTTTCCAAATAAGGAAAAAATGACAGAATACATACACTATATTGCCAAAAGTATTGGGACACCCCTCCATATCATTGGATTCAGGTGTTCCGTGAAATTTCCTTGCAACTAAATATTCCACTGTCAACTGTTAGTGGTATTATAACAAACTGGAAGCAACTGGGAACAACAGCAACTCAGCCACAAAGTGATAGGCCACGTAAAATGACAGAACGGGGTCAGTGCATGCTGAAGTGCAAAGAAGTCGCCAACTGTCTGCAGAGTCAATAGCTACAGACCTCCAAACTTTGTGTGGCCTTCAGATTGGCACAACAACAGTGCTTTTATCCTCATGCAAGTTAATGTGAATGCAAAAGCAGGTTGAAGCAGCTCAATGGAGCTTAAAAGGAGGCCAAATACAGGACCAAAAGTATTGGGACACCCCTCCATATCATTGGATTCAGGTGTTCCGTGAAATTTCCTTGCAACTAAATATTCCACTGTCAACTGTTAGTGGTATTATAACAAACTGGAAGCAACTGGGAACAACAGCAACTCAGCCACAAAGTGATAGGCCACGTAAAATGACAGAACGGGGTCAGTGCATGCTGAAGTGCAAAGAAGTCGCCAACTGTCTGCAGAGTCAATAGCTACAGACCTCCAAACTTTGTGTGGCCTTCAGATTGGCACAACAACAGTGCTTTTATCCTCATGCAAGTTAATGTGAATGCAAAAGCAGGTTGAAGCAGCTCAATGGAGCTTAAAAGGAGGCCAAATACAGGTCAGAAGGTGGTCAATGCAAGTCAAATGCACCTATGAAGGAACTCAGAAGCATCGTAAATCAATTTCAAACACAAGCTGAATGCACCTACATTTGCCCATCTAGACAAGCCTTTAATCATTCTCTTCCTTACATTGATGCATTTATGTTTATGAGTAAGAATATAAATAATATTCTCAGCTTAATCTGTTACAATCAAAAAGTCTAAGTCAGTACACAAAAGTATTAGATAGTATGCTACATTACTCTAATAAATGGTCTTTAGACTATGTCTAAACAGTAGTCTGTACCTCTTGCTAAATGGTCGTATATCAAGAACTATCAAAGTTTTGGAACAGTGTTCCAGGGTACTAACATCATCAACATGGGAGCCAGGCCTTGTGGAGCTTGCCAATAAGACAAACAAGTAGATGTTGGATAAGTACATCAGTGATCACAAGTGTACCAATTGTAAAGAAAACTTGAGAGCTAGAAGTGGAGCAATTTATCACTTGGAGTTCCACACTTGAGTAAATAAGATACAAATATTACATAGGAACTATTCCAACTGTAAATTGCTTAACTTAGCAACCAAAGCATAACGAAGTAACTTCTTATGTTACTTGAAGTGCAGCATTAACTCCTTACTGAACATACTATTACATGGGAGAAACTCAGATTGTGCTGTAGGATAGAAAGAAGAACATGAGAGCAATGAGATCCTAGTTGCCCCAGGCAGGCAGTTTGCCGGATGCCTTATGGCACAGTAGCCCTGAGGCCTGCACATTTCAAGGCTTCCCTCTGGGAGGTTGTCTGAATACCATAAAACATGTATAACAGTCTGAGTGTGAACCCATCTGTGCTGGGAACTCAATCCTGTGATGCTTGTATGGTTTCATAACTGAAAAAAAACGGGGAAAAAAAGAACATAGATATCAAAACATTACACAGCATGTAAAGCATATACTAAAGCATCAGGACATCATTATTTAAAGTGGAAGTTGAGACAATTTTTTTCACTGTATTAATCCTTACTGATAATAATTTTTTCTTATCATTTACAGTGCAATATTGCTCTACAGCCAGCATTCTTGATATATCATGCACTGAACCTTTGTCTGCATCAGGCTAACAGTTCCTACGGGTTGTAGTGGAGGCATCAAAATAAAATGGCTCTGATTCTGCCACTTCCGATGCCATTATAACTCAGAGTGTAAACTCTGATGCCAATAAAGTAGTCTCTTTTAAAGGCTTAACTGGGCCTTTCTGTGGGGTGTATATTGAGGTACACCACCCATGTTACTTTACTTGTTAAACCATCTATTTAAACCTACAGTACATTACACAGAAAAGTCTCTGGATCTGCAGTCTGTTTTATCATATAAGTGATGTAAAAACTGCAAGGAAGGAGGCAAGCCGATCATAAACGTTACATAATGTTTTTGCGGCACTGGAAAAATTACAGCATAACCATCATCTTCCTTTGCCTCAGTTTTTCCTCTTCAAATGATCTTTCTTGATTTGTCTAATTGCTTTAAAGGTTAAGTTAACCTTTTGCAAAAATTTAAGAAATGCATATTTAATAATATTACAAAAATATGCATTTCTTTAATTTTTGCATTCAAACCTAGAAAGCATTGCAACTTTGATCCCTCGATCACAGCTGCAAAGCTCAGGTTTCTGCACATTCTCTCCCAGGCAGAGCTCCATACTGAGGTACCGAATTTCAGATGAGTTTGAGGTGGGGAAGGACGGCTGGACTTCAAACGGCATTAAATCACCTTATACTGCGTCCAGCCATCCTCCCTCTAGTTAGATGTGTTAAAGCTGTCCATATTCCCACATCTAACCAGAGGGAGGATGGCTGCACGCTGTATGAGGTGATTTAATGCAATTTGAAGTCCAGCCATCCTTCCCCATTACTCCTAACTAAAACTCTGCTCTCCAGTACGGAACTCTGCCTGGGAGAGGATGTGCAGAAGCCTCAGCGTTGCAGCTTTGATCAAGTGATCACAGTTGCAATGCTTTCCCTGACTTGAATGTAAAAATTAGAGAAATGCATATTACTTTTTATATTATTAAATGCCCATTTTTAAACTTTTTGCAAAAAATGAACTTAGCCTTTAACACCTTTTTTCTTAATGAACAGTATAAAATATATGTTATGGTACTTTATTATGCAAGGGTGAATCAATCACTGTCATTTAAAACACATGCACCTGGAAGATTCACTTGCAGTGAATGTCATATTCACTGCTTTATTTAAAAAAAAAAAAGCCCCTTAGTCATTGGCACATATAGCCACTTGTCTTTTGCAAGTACATACAAAAACTGTCCTTTTGCAAATA